ACAATACGAATTTTATAATGTAATATTTCTTACAACAATTAAACTATTGAATTATTATTATTATTATTATTATTTTATTTGTTTTTGTTGCATATTGTTTCTATGTGTTTTCTTTTGTTTATAACGATGAAATTTTTGTTTTTATTGTTTCTTTCTGTTTCAAGTTGTTTATTTTCATGGATCTAAATTTATCACTTTAGGTTTTTGTTTTTGAATCTACATAGACATTTTGATTTTAAGAAAGTCACCAAGGTAATAGAAACCTAAATAATAAAAAAAAAACTAAGTCAATAAAAACAACGATCAATAACACAGTACAACAATAAGCAACACTATGCAAAAAAAAACAACATGTTACAACAAAAAGAAACATGGTGCAACAAAAAGTAATACACATGATACAACAATAAGAAACAAAAACAACATTCAAGTGTCACAATAAGTATACAATTCAACTTGTTAACTCAATTTATTACAGTATCTACTCTGTATTATACCATTTGATTTTGCTTCTTCACCTCTTCTGGTAATCTGATGAAACAAAAATTCTTAAATGCAAACAGTTACAGAATTATATATTTATAAAAATAAGATCACAAATTAGATATTTTATTAAAAATGCAGCCTAAAATACGAAGTATAAACATAACTCTAGATCAATATTAAGTTGTAAACATAGGCACATTTGCACAAAAAATAGTCTCACCCTTAAACTATTTAGTTGCTCCAGCACGGTCTTTTGTTGGGGGTTATTGTGATTTTTCAGATTGAGCATCACATTTGTAACCCCTACTTAAGTTTCCATTTGATATCTGAAATAATAATAAAAAATTGAAAAAATTAGAGAGATCCCATTGCAACAAAACAACACCAACATAGAACCTGATTTAGGATATCCAACTCTTTAGAGGTATCAAAGTTCAAAAGAGTAAATGAAAGTTGCTGCAATCAAGTTTACATTATGATTTCTAGGAATAAAGTCTCCTGGGGTCCTTTCCTTTCTTCTGAAAAAGCCAAATTAAGCTTTATTGATTGTTCCCCAGATTTTCTCCACTTCTGTATCAAAGGCTTGTGAAGGACATGTACAGGAATTGGCAAGCTTGCCTTAAAGGGAATGCATGTTTAAGATTATCATGTGTCTTACACCAAGCCAACATATGATGCCGTATTCACAAGATGTCCTGAAGCCTGCTGATAAGTCTTCAGAAAACTCAAAAAATTATAATTGCACACTATTCAAAATAATACTATCGTATAATCACAAACACTTGATTCAAATATATGATAGTTCCAAATACACTCAACTCAAATGTATCGCGTAGTATAAACACATTTAACTCATAGTGTCTAACAAGTTTCTTAAAACAACATAAAATTCAAAACAAATCAGTTAAAAGCTAATTAGACATTCAAATCTTGAAAGACCTTTGGAACTCCAGGTTCAACATTTATTTCCTTCACAACAATGTCTTTACAGTGAATAGTACACACTAATTACAACATATATTTGTTTTATTGAATTTAAGATTCCATTTACACAATCTTACCACCTCAAGCCCCACTATCCTATTTAAATTTTAAATCTCTTTCTTGCCTGTCAAATAGAATACATCAATTATTTATACAACTATAATTGATACCTGCAACAGAAAAGCATTTTAAGCAACAAACAAGAGAATTACCTCTCTGAAAACTACGAGGACCAACATATATCACTTTAGGCATGGGTGCCATGTAGTGGATAATCAACAGTCACAGTCAGAAAGTTGATTAAATTTAAAAATGTAAAATAATTACTAAAGCTAATAAAAATTACAATGACAACAACTACATGATTATAGAAGAGTAAAATGAAAAAAATAGTAAAACAAGTCCCTCTGTATTAATAATATGCAGTTTCACACTTGCAGAAAAGTGAATAAACGTGATGAACAGATGATAGACACACACATTCAGTTTCAACTTTCATTCAACCAATTATTGCTTTCATAAGAAATTAAGATAGAATATGTTTTGTCTTTTTAAACACTCCAGATCATATGAAACATCCAATTCATTACAGGGAAAATGCTGATACTTACTAGGATCAAATGTTCTTTGTCTCTGGTAAACTTTCAATAGAATGGAGCACAACCTGGTAAGAAATTGACAAGCTTAGTGTGAAACAGATTAACAAATAAAGCTATGGACAGCCAGCCCAATTGTTCTGGAAACCATCTCCCGCCATCTTCTCCTTCACGCCAAGAGTAGCAGCGGCGTACAAGCAAAACAGATCGGAAAAAATCAGTAGCAACGGCGACCATTCTTCATCGAAAATCTATCTCATGCTTCATCGAAAATCGATCTCAAGCTCAGCCCTCGGAAATCAACCTCGAACTCAGCAATAACGACAGAAATAGGATGACAGCCATGCCAAAGCTTTGGACGACGAGTATAAATTTGAGATTAACATTAAAAATTAGGTTAGAAACTTACAAGGTTAGAAATTAAGTCAGATACGGAGATGACAGAAGAATTAAGGAGGACTGTAGAAATTGCCTTTTGCCTGAATTCATTCATCGACTAGGAGTGCAGCGATCCGCGGGGAGGCCATCAAGCTGTGATGACTAAGAAATCACCGGCAATTGTGGTGAGTTGGCGTCGATGCTTCACAGAGGTCGGAGCAAAGAGACGAGAGTGAAGGTCCAAGTCGAGCGGGTGGAGGTGGAAGGAGGATCTCGCGAGAAGAAGAAACGGGAGGAGGAGAAAGAAAAGTCTACAACTGAAATAAATAAAGATAATTGAAAATACAAAAGTTAAAAATGAAAAGTATAAATAAGTGGGACACAAAATGATATAGATCACACCAAAGTGAACTATACGGGTAATTTGCACAATAAAGTAATAAACTTTCACAACTTCAGTCTGAGCTTGGGCCAAGTAGTGCGAGGCCCAATTTCCTTCCCGGAGAGTATGAACAAATTCGATCTGTTTCCTAAAAGCCAACTCTGAGATTTCCTGAATCGATACCATCCACCTCCTTTCACTCCTTTCACCCGCTCTCTTCAGATAATCCAGAGCTCTAAGGGAATCCGTCTCCACCTGAAGATTAGCATAGCCTTCGTTGACAGCCCATCTTACTGCTGAGAAGACTGCCTTCAGCTCAGCTTCAATAGGCGACTGTGCTTGCACCGGGAAGCTAATCGCAGCAACAAATCCACCTTTATGGTCCCGCAAAATTGCACCTCCTGAAGCCCTCAAAGGTAAGTAGTTTTGTTGATATCTAACATGATATCTCACTTTGAAAATGCATGGAATCCTTTAATGCTTATAAGAGATCAGGCCCCAAGAATTCATGACGCTTGCCCCCCCCCCCTTAATTAAGTCTGTAAATGTAAATGTAAATGTAATAATTACCCATTTCTACAGCTTTCACTCTAAATTTATTTCTATAGATCTAACTTAAAATAATACTATGAAGTTATTTCTTCATAATATATTTCTTTTAACTCAAAATCATATTAGTTTCAGAAAGCATAATCCCTGTTTTGAGAACTTATCTTAAACTTATCTCCAAAACGTGTTTTGTGAACAAACAAATCCTAAACTTGTATTATTCGTTCAATGCATAAAAACGTATGCTTTACATGTACAATAGTAAAACCTACATATGTCAGACTCCGATTTTTTCAAATACATTCAGTGCACTCAAATCTTTTTCACACCACCAATGTTTTTTTCACTCACATGATGCATAATCCCTGATCTTTTTATTGCATAAAATATCACACATTTTTAAATGCAAATAAGTCCAGAAAATCATTAATGACCTTATGAAACTAACTTGTCTTGAATTGTTTTTATTCGTTCAGTGCATAAATTAAAACCTCCACTTCTCATAAACTTGGAATTTTTTAAAGGCATTCAGTGCAAAAAACTTTTTTCTCACATATCCATAAAGTTAGCGGGACCCCCTTAATCCCAAACCTAGCACTCTTTTTTTAAGAAACAACGCCTATAAGAACTTGATGAAGTTTTGAAAAGCATGTAGTTTTCCTCCAGCATGAAGTTTTTCACCGTGCATACTCGCCTCTCTTAGAATATGCTGACAAACTTGTTTACAAACTGGTCTGGAATGTGAATGCATTTTGGACCCCTGAAATTCAAAAGAATGCAGTCATAAATTGTTTTTTGGAATAGTTAACGCAGTAGATAATAAAAATTAGTCATAAACACCCTAACCTCTTTATCATGAAACACGACCTCTAATGACTCCGGAAAACAGTCACGGCCGGGTCTTGGTAGACATGTATCGCTCTAGCCTTGATTGCGCAAGTAGTCTTTCTTTGGTCAATCTCTCGGAATAGGGATCAATGCCAACCATTATGACAAATTTTGTTTGTGCTTTTGGCTTCCTTGCTCGAATGAGTGTGGTGTTGTTAGATTGGTATGGCTGCTTTATAGCCCCAACACTGTGCATTCTTTATTCAACCAATTAGAATTGTTTTTGGATTTGGGGGGGGGAAACTGAGTTTCAAAATTTGAATTCTGAACTGTTACACCAAAGCCAAACCAATAATTCACCCTAGCTCCCAACCGTGTATATGCATTGTTCCGTATTAATTTAACTGTTCAGCAACAAACGGTCCAATGAAAATAAAGCACAGTGAGTATGAAATCCTAATGAAATCTCTACAGTGTCCAAACGTATCACCTCCACTCATTTCTTGCCAAACTTTCACACACAGGGCCCTAACTTTCTGATTTTTGACACACCGAACCCTCAGCCAACAATAGATCAATGAGCAATAAACAAAAGAGTTGAAAGTGACGTTTTTGAGAGGGAAACTTGAGCCCACTTTCATTTTGCTTTTAGATTATAATAGATTCCCTTATCCTATCAACGACCGGCGGCAGGGCAGCACAGGGCCCAAAAAATTTGAAGGCAATAAAATAAATTAAATTAATTTTTTAATTTATAACTTTATGTGATTATGTGATTGTAATCCTTTCTTAGGACCAGCCCTGACCGTAGTTGGACCCAATGGCAACAACAGATCCATGCTCAAACCTCCTCTATTTCATCGATTGCGAATTCAATTCATCAAAAATAACCGGAAGGAAGGCAACACTTCTGGAAGTTGGTGTTGTGATTGTTTCTCCTTTTACACTGGAAGAGTGTGGAAGCCGGCGCTGGTACATCAAGCCTCCCAGTGAGGAAGATGTTTCGAAACGGCTGTTAAAAAACAAAGATTATAAAAATAAAGCTACACCCTTTGAAGAGATAGCTGTGGAACTCTGTGAGTATCTATATGCCAAAGTTTGGGTGGGTCATAATATAGTTAAGTGTGATTTGGATTTGCTCATGAGTACATTTATGGCATCAAAAATGAAATTCATGGTCCGCGATGAGGATGGTGGATCATCTACAATTGAATACCCAGTAGCATCACGAATAATTGACACGTGTTCATCATTCCAAACATGTGGTTTTACAAAAGGGAAGAGAGGTGTTACTTCCATTAGTCTTGAGAGTTTGGCCAGGCATTTTAAGATGGACGTCAAACAGAAACACGACACTCTTTCAGATTGCCGATTACTCCTTAAAATTATATTGCGGTGCAGTGCTGTTCTCTTTTTGGAACCGGGAAAGAGACACAACTGTGCTGCTGCAGAGCAGTATCTTTTAAAAAAAAATGCAGAAGATCAAAATGAACCTGGGGATGATCACTTTCTAGAAGATCAACTTGTGGACGAGGACAAAATCAATGAAGATGACAAAAGAAAGCCAATGGAGATGGAATCAGCGCATCGGTATAAGATTGTGCCCAAACTCGAAGAGGATCCTTACGATGAATTACAGGGGGCTGAGGTGATAAAAAAATACAGCAATTTGTATGATTCTGCTCGGACTGCCGTTGTTGTTGAGGATAAAGATCTAGTATATCTAGGTATGCTCAACGATTATTTCGTTAAAAATAAGAAAGAAGCTACGGTTCTTAATAAGTTACTCTGTGAGGGGGAAACACGTAGAGAAAACTTAAGCAGCCAATATAAAGGACTGCCTCTGAATTGGAGAGGTCGAGTATTTGTTATGAAACAAGGGCAAAAGGACAATGGCTTTTATGACATATTTGGAAAAGATAGAGTGGTCATATTCCTCCATTAATAAAAGGACCTCTGATTCTTCCCTGGCATATGCTATTCCTTCCGTGGATCCTTCCAGATAACTAAAGAAACAAGTATCTTTTCCCCGAGTTTCAGGTTCCTGTAAACAGGACAGCCAATCTCCCTATGTTACTGTTCACGCGCCATTGATTTACTAAGCATGGCTACGTTTGCCAGAGGATGTGGATGCTAATGCTAGAAAGGTTTGTACTTTTTTTTTTACAAAAAATATCTTTTCCTTATAACCATCACAGTATCTTATAATGCTCGCTTTCAGAAGTCAGAGAATTTACATTTGATGATTAAATTGCAGATGTTTATTGATGAAGTGATGGAGCTAGTTGAGCTTAACCCATTGAGGTGAGCACATGTTGGGTTGCTCAGTGTCAATGGTCTCTCGACCGAACAACACAAAAAGCTAACAATCATGTTCAGTTAGTGGCTAACTCAAACATATTCATGGATGAGCCAATTTCAAGACTTAATCCTAGAGCTGCTGCAGTGGTGTAAGAGCTGTGAGAAACATTATTGATACTGGTTGAACCGTCGCCTGCACTATTCATCAACTCAGAATCAACATTTTTGAGGCCTTTTGATGAGTTAAATCGACTCTCTTTAGGTTTTACGTTGTTTAATTTTCATAATTTTGCAAAGTTTAAAACAATAAACTGATTAAGTATGGAATAAACCCTGCATCTCATTCTAATGAAGAGAGGACTACAAGAGATTTATGTCCGGCCCTTGGGGTGTAACTCATGCCATTTAATTGTTACATTGAGGCACCGGCTGTATTTGGAATTACGTATGCACTTCTACAATCGTAGTTATGGTGTTATTGTTTATGCTATGACCGGATTTAAAAGGACAGTGGCCAAGTTTTTCTGGCCCTCTCCATAATATGCACATTGTTATACTTCACTTTCTACGGCATGGTGTCTGTCCAATTCCATTACTCCCAAACAAAAGCATTGTATCCATTGTTGGCACCTTCTTCTATGGTACATGAAATATCTTTTTAGGATTCATCATTCCACTACCTATAAGTATTTTAATCACTACATCACTATTGCTAGATTTATGAATTATATTATCTGTGTCCCAATTTGATTAATGTTTTACAAAATTGCACACATTATGTAACACTGTAAAATGACATTTCAATCTCTACAAGACTTTTTCATTAAATGCCACCTTGCTTCTTCTAAGCGTAAAAGCATCTAGTATGAGAAAAACACAGAAAACTACATCTAGTAAAATGAAAATTATTTAGTGACAAAATTTTGGCTAAAGCTACAAATACCTTGGGATGGATGGAGTAGATCAAAATGATAATACTTTTTGTGTGTTCTTTTTCCAGTGACAGAGCATGCATGTATGGTGAAGATGGTATTTCTGGGCGTGCCCCGTTATGTGGACATGAGGTTATTGAAGGTGAAAACATGGTTGCTTCGATTCAAAATGTGAAGGTTTTCTTGGAAGGTTACTTTGGGTTTAAGCATGAGTTTCTTGGAGCGGTTTCGATTATGACTGGTGTGTTCCACAACCCCCCCCCCCCCCCCCCACCTTTCATCATTTCCTTGGCGATTAAAACATCCAACTTCCAGTAAAGATAGAGGTGCCTCTGCGTTCTTACAAGTATATGTACACAGTATGATTAGGCATGGACCCGGAATAGAACTGCTAATCGAAGTTGCAGATTTGATATGGTGAAGTTGACCCACTTTTTTCAAGTGGCAATGCGGCATGGATAAAAATCAACAATGTGATTCCAATCATTTAGCAGAATTCTCACTAAAGGTCCAAATCACTCGAAATGTAAGTTCAATGGTGTCTAAAGTCCAGATAATATATCTTGCCCCAAGTTTTATGACAATACCTGGCAATATTTCCCCCTCTGTGGAGGTTTTTGTAATTGTTATTATTGACATTATTATGTATGAACCATGGTATTCAAAATCGCGAGTCAGCTCGTAGGATCGTCCGATTATACGATCTAAAACCAGATTGACGATCCCTTTTGTACTAAGAATCGTAGATTAAGGAGAATCGGTAGAATCGCCGAGTAGGAGCGCTCACTCGTAGGAACGTACAGAATCGGCGAGTCGTTTGCGACGGTGGAAGGAAAAAAACAGAGAAGTATCATGACCTTCGATTTGCTTGTTCATTCTGCTACTCCCTTCGAAGCAGAATCACCAACGACTTCCATTCTGAGGCCCGACTGAGTCGAAGCCTCCACCTCTACGTAGAAGACTCGAAGGCGACTTCATCTCCCGGTTCCAAAAGTGCGCTCAGCTAATTTGTTTTTTAGCTTGTACTATCATACTCCGTATATGTTATACTCCGTAACTTATAATGTTATGTACTCGTATTAATTATGTTATACGATAGTATATTAATATTGATACTTTAATTTATTTACTACTCCGTAGTATTTTATTAGTAAATCCTTTCAAAAAACATTTTATTAGTAAATAATTACGCATGATGCTTTGTGTGTCTACTGTAAATTAATTGATTACTTTAAATTTAATAAAGTGGATTGTTTGTGTGCTTTCTGTAAATTAATTTATTAGATGTTAATTTAACAAATTATTGATGCTTTAATTACTTTATAACATACGGAGTATTGTAAGTTAATTTTTAGATGTTTAATTATATAATTATGAGTCAACTCTTTTTGTTTCAAGTCTTTAAGTACCCAAAATATTTGATATTATATTATTAACATCTCCTTTGATCATTATTTATCAATTATATTTATTTTCTAACTATCTAACTATATGTATACATATTACGCACACACACACATATATGCATATGTATATGTAAGCATATATTTTGTAGGATCTTACGATCCGAGTCACGATCCTACGATTTACGATCCTTATTCCAATATCCGATCCTACGTAGGATCTCGAGTTTGACTACCTTGGTATGAACTAAGTTCTTTTTTTGTAATTTTCGTATTTGATAGTAAATGGCACTATTGGCATTCTTCACTGGATTTAAAATTCTATCAATTACTCTATATGCATTGTTAACTAGATTATCTGCTGGTCTTTAAATTCTAGCAATAGTCGCTAGATTCTAGTGGCACTCATCAGATTCGGCGGCGGTTGCTAGGTTTCGATGGCAGTCGCTGGTGACTGGTAGGGTTGGCCCACCTGACATGATTTTTGAGGCCTTTTTATGAGGTAAACCGACTTTCTTTAGGTTTTACGTTGTTTTACTTTCACAAATTTGCAAAGTTTAAAACAATAAACTGATCAAGAATAAAATAACCCTGCATCTCATTCTAATGAAGAGAGGACTACAAGAGATTTATGTCCTGCCCTTGGGACGTAATTCATGCCATTTGATTGTTACTTTGAGGTAGGTTTCGAAACCTCCAAAGCCCCAACTTCTAATCTATACCACATTACTTGTGTAATTCACTTATCTGAGAATTGTCCTTCCACAGAGTGGCGAAAATCAAGGAAGAATACAATCCAACAACATGGATGTTTGATGTGACAACCTCAGCAGCTCAAAAATGTTATTAGGAGTTGATTTTACAGATGTCTACAAGAACTCAGATCTATACAAAACAAAGTTTTGATGAGTGTATTAAGCACACCTCGCCCTTGTTCCAAGGACTTGTATTTTCCAACACACTACTGGCAGTGTTTCTGGAGCCAATTTGTGGCCTGTTTGTGGAAGCAACACTGGTCTTATTGGCGTAACACATCTTACACCGCAGTTAGGTTCCTCTTCACAACTGTCATTGCATTGGCTTTATGGGCAATATTCTGGGCCCTTGGTACTAAAGCGTAAGTAGTCGAAACACGGCTTATTAATAGTTCTGCTATTTTGTGGTAAACTCTGGTGCTAAAATTTCATGGTATTTATGTTTCAGTCGGAGGAAGAAAATTTTGCTTAATGCAATGGGGTCCATGTAGAATGTGGTTCTCTTTATTGGATGTATTCGGCATTGCCATATGCCTTCGGACAAGTGAGTTTTATTTCTACTGTCCTAGTCCACATTTTTTGCTACCCATTATAAAAATGTGAATTATAAATTATAATGTAATAGTAATTTGTTTTTGTCCGTGTAACCGGCTGTATTTGGAATTACGGATGCACTTCTACAATCGTAGTTATGGTGTTATTGTTTATGCTATGATCGGATTTAAATGGACAGTGGCCAAGTTTTTCTGGCCCTCTCCATAATATTGAAGGTGAAAACATGGTTGGTTCGATTCAAAATGTGAAGGTTTTCTTGGAAGGGTTACTTTGGGTTTAAGCATGAGTTTCTTGGAGCATCCAACTTCCCGTAAAGATAGAGGTGCCTCTGCGTTCTTACAAGTATATGTACACAGTATGATTAGGCATGGACCCGGAATAGAACTGCTAATTGAAGTTGCAGATTTGATATGGTGAAGTTGACCCACTTTTTTCAAGTGGCAATGCGGCATGGATAAAAATCAACAATGTGATTCCAATCATTTATCAGAATTCTCACTAAAGGTCCAAATCACTCGAAATGTAAGTTCAATGGTGTCTAAAGTCCAGATAATATATCTTGCCCCAAGTTTTATGACAATACCTGGCAATATTTCCCCCTCTGGAGGTTTTTGTAATTGTTATTATTGACATTATTATGTATGAACTAAGTTCTTTTTTTTGTAATTTTCGTATTTGATAGTAAATGGCACTATTGGCATTCTTCACTGGATTTAAAATTCTATCAATTACTCTATATGCATTGTTAACTTGATTATCTGCGGGTCTTTAAATTCTAGCAATAGTCGCTTGATTCTAGTGGCACTCATCAGATTCGGTGGCGGTTGCTAGGTTTCGATGGCAGTCGCTGGTGACTGGTAGGGTTGGGCCACCTGACCTGATTTTTGAGGCCTTTTGACGAGGTAAGCCGACTTTCTTTTGGTTTTACGTTGTTTTATTTTCATAATTTTGCAAAGTTTTAAACAATAAACTGATCAAGAATGAAATAACCCTGCATCTCATTCTCATGAAGAGAGGACTACAAGAGATTTGTGTCCTGCCCTTGGGACGTAATTCATGCCATTTCATTGTTACTTTGAGGTAGGTTTTGAAACCTCAAAAGCCCCATCTTCTAATCTATACCACATTACTTTTGTAATTCACTTATCTTAGAATTGTCCTTCCACAGAGTGGCGAAAATCAAGGAAGAATACAATCCAACAACATGGATGTTTGATGTGACAACCTCAGCAGCTCAAAAATGTTATTAGGAGTTGATTTCACAGATGTCTACAAGAACTCAGATCTCTACAAAGCAAAGTTTTGATGAGTGTATTAAGCACACCTCGCCCTTGTTCCAAGGACTTGTATTTCCCAACACACTACTGGCAGTGTTTCTGGAGCCAATTTGTGACCTTTTTGTGGAAGCAACACTGGTCTTATTGGCGTAACACATCTTACACCGCAGTTAGGTTCCTCTTCACAAACTTTCATTGCATTGGGTTTTTGGGCAATATTCTGGGCCCTTGGTACTAAAGCGTAAGTAGTCGAAACACGGCTTATTAATAGTTCTGCTATTTTGTGGTAAACTCTGGTGCTAAAATTTCATGGTTTTTATGTTTCAATCGGAGGAAGAAAATTTTGCTTAATGCAATGGGGTCCATGTAGAATGTGGTTCTCGTTATTGGATGTATTCGGCATTGCCATATGCCTTCGGACAATTGAGTTTTATTTCTACGGTCCTAGTCCACATTTTTTGCTACCCATTATAAAAATGTGAATTATAAATTATAATATAATAGTAATTTGTTTTTGTCTGTGTAACTGGCTGTATTTGGAATTACGTATGCACTTCTACAATCATAGTTATGGTGTTGTTGTTATGCTATGATCGGATTTAAATGGACAGTGGCCAAGTTTTTCTGGCCCTCTCCATAATATGCACATCGTTATACTTCACTTTCTACGGCATGGTGTCTGTTCAATTCCATTACTCCCAAACAAAAGCATTGCATCCATTGTCGGCACCTTCTTCTATGGTACATGAAATATCTTTTTAGGATTCATCATTCCACGACCTATAAGTATTTTAATCACTACATCACTATTGCTAGGTTTATGAATGATATTATCTATGTCCCAATTTGATTAATGTTTTACAAAATTGCACACATTATGTAACATTGTAAAATGACATTTCAATCTCTACAAGACTTTTTCATTAAATGCCATCTTGCTTCTTCTAAGCGTAGAAGCATCTAGTATGAGAAAAACACAGAAAACTACATCTCGTAAAATGAAAATTATTTAGTGACAAAATTTTGGCTAAAGCTAAAAATACCTTGGGATGGATGGAGTAGATCAAAATGATAATACTTTTTGTGTGTTCTTTTTCTGGTGACAGAGCATGCATGTATGGTGAAGATGGTATTTCTGGGCGTGCCCCTTTACGTGGACAGGGGGTTATTGAAGGTGAAAACATGGTTGGTTCGATTAAAAATGTGAAGGTTTTCTTGGAAGGGTTACTTTGGGTTTAAGCATGAGTTTCTTGGAGCGGTTTCGATTATGACTGGTGTGTTCCACAACCTCCCCCCACCTTTCATCATTTCCTTGGCCATTAAAACATCCAACTTCCAGTAAAGATAGAGGTGCCTCTGCGTTCTTACAAGTATATGTACACAGTATGATGATTAGGCATGGACCCGGAACTGCTAATAGAAGTTGCAGATTTGTTATGGTGAAGTTGACCCACTTTTTTCAAGTGGCAATGCGGCATGGATAAAAATCAACAATGTGATTCCAATCATTTATCAGAATTCTCACTAAAGGTCCAAATCACTCGAAATGTAAGTTCAATGGTAATTGTTATTATTGACGTTATGTATCAACTAAGTTCTTTTTTTTGTAATTTTCGTATATGATAGTAACCGACCTGGCCCGGTGGCCCGGCCAGTGACCGGTTGGGTAGGCCTGGTTCCGGGTTTTTATTTTTTTTTTAACTTTTTGGGTTGGGTTGGGTTGGGTATTTTGGGCCATTTGGGATGTTGGGTGTTTTGGGGGGTTCGGGGTGAGGGGGTGGTTAATTAGGAAAAAGGAAAAAAAAAAATTGACCCGAGGCCTGGCCCGTCCCTGACCTGGCCCGGACCCGGTGGCTACGTGGGCCGGTCCCAGGCCCACCTATTCAGTACCGGCAGCCCACCCGGACCTGGCCCGGCTCGAAACTACTCCTACAATAAAGTAAGGTTTTTAGTCTTTTTACCACACTTTTTTAATCTTTCCTGTTATAAAATTTTGATTGCAAGTATACTCCTTATTTAATTTTTGTTGTAACTTATAAGCTTCATAAAAAGTTAATATATTTGAAATTCACATAGAATTTTAATACAACACAATATTTTATCCATTTGCCTTTTAATATTCCGTTTTTTGCATTTACATTTGCTACATAGCCTCTATACATATACGGATACCATTCACCATAAGTTCCCATTCACCATTCACCAAAATTAAGTTCTCTGATTTTATATTACACTTTTTTCATATTTGAAAGATTTGATTTCATCATCAATCAAACATCGTAAACCAAAACTAGATTTTCTTTTGGTATTGATGGAGTGCACAGTGGGGGGGGGGTGTTTGTAGGTATACTTTTAGTTTTTCAAAGGATGCCTTTTTAAACATCCTTACTCTGGTTACATGCCACACACTCCCATTTATTCTAGACGTGGCCTCCTCCACTGAAAGACCGACCTCAGGAGGGAGACGTGTTAAAATTTAATATGAAGTAATTTAAAAGTTGAAAGTTGTACCTTTTTCAAAGTCAGTTACTGTAAAAGTGCCTCTTTCAAATTTTAGAGTATGTTTTTCTATTTTCTACTCATTTCTCACTGCGAGACCGTTTTTTTAATCATGATTGCATTGGTGGGAGTATTTTAACTTCAACTGATTTGCTGTGTATGTCTAAAATTGAAACTCCAGCCGCACCCTAATGTCAGACCTATGACATATGCCGAAAGCTTCTTCCAAATGTTCTCTTAGCTCCAACACAACCGTATTATGCACGTCGCCGACATAAATCATGGTTCTGAAAGGCAGGAGAAGAGTCAAGAGATGCCTCAGAACTTGCTGACATTACCATTTGCTTGCCATGCATGATTCTTTTGGGGAGCCTCTAATTACCTCACTGCTTATAGGAATTCTTACAGGACTTATATCTTGTATGCTGACAAAATATAGGTTTATAGTTTCAACGACACGTTTGAAAGATACAAACTGGTGCGACTATAAACACTTTATACTTTCCGCCAAGAATGCATTCTCATTTCTCACTAGTCCTGGACTCGGGCCGGGTGGCCCGACCCGGAACCGGCCCGGGACCGGTATTGTGTTGAACCAGCCCGGCCCGGTAAGCCGGCCTGTGACCGGTCAGGGAGGCCTGGCCCGGGGGGATCACGGTGCGGGCTCGGGTCACCCAAAAGCTGAACTGGCCCGGCTGGTTCGTGCCCGGTTCCGGGCTTTTTATTTTTTATTTTTTTTCAATTTTTTTTAGCTTTTTGGTTTGGGCTGGGTTTTTTGGGCCATTTGGGGTGGTTTGGAGGTTGAGGGTGGGGGTGTAAATTAGGAAAATGGAAAAAAAAATTGACCCAAGGCTTGGCCCGGTCCCCGGCCCACCTATTCAGAACCGGCGGCCCGCCCGGGCCTAGGCCCGGCCCGGCCCGGCCCGAATCCACTCCCTAATTCTCACCATTATATATATGTATCCACCATCCATTATTAATGTAACATTGTTAAATCTCCCATTGGATATGAAGGGAACCCAGAACAAATTCCCACACTTTCCCACTTCCCAGTAGTTGAAATGTTGAATCCGTTGGATTTCATCTTCACTTAAGAGTTACGGCCTCCATGTTCTCTAAATCTCTAATGTGCTAAATGTTCATACACAGTTCTACACTTTGTTACTGGTGTTGTCATGTGTACCAACTCATTTGCTTCATTTTCATTTGATTAGTTTACCAACTTATGGAGGAATGTAGTGCTGTAAGTCTGTAATAACTAATTGCACTTCGAAAAGTTATTATACGAGTGTACTGTAATTGCACTTCAAATTTATACGTGACTTTCTTAATTTCATGATCGAAAAAATAACTTATTCTAAAAGGGATCATATCATATATTGTCATTCAAATGAAATTTAATGTGCAACTTTAATATTTTAGTGATGCTCTTTTATCTTAAAGTTATGCACTTCTAGCATTAACTAATTTTGATTGCCCTTGCATACCTAAAAGTAAATATGCACTTTTAGGAAAACAATTTGCACATTTATCATTTCCATTTGCATAAATATTCTTAAACAAACTATTTTGAACTTTAATAATAATAATAACAATACTAATAATAATAATAATAATTTTAATAATAATAATAATAATAACCAATGCACCACCAAGTAAAAACAGTACATATACCAAATATATTTGTAAGAGAAAATATACACTTAAAGTTAACACCAGTATTATTTTAGACGTGCCTCAATAAAGTTAATACTAGATTCCCAAATGGACAGAACCTTTTCAAACTTTTCTTAAAGTTAAATGAATCTAGACAAAAAACGTAATATGTTAGTGATTAATAAGTATGGGGTAGAAGTTAAGTGCTTAAAAAAGAAAAGTTACGTAATATGTTAGTGATGCGAAATACGTAGTATTGTATATGGGATGAGTGGAAGTTCATTATACGCAAAGCGTTAGTCCATTAAGTCATTTGATTAAATCACACTAAATCAAGGGTGGAGATGCATTCTTATTTCTCTCCTAAGATGTTATTCTCATTTGATCCCTACTCTCTCTCTCTCTCTCTCTCTCTCTCTCTCTATATATATATATATATATATATATATATATATATATATATATATATATATTCATCCAAAAAAAAGGCTGAGCAAAACCCGAACCAACCCGCAAGACCCGAAGGTTTTGCAGATATTACCCGAACCGAAGTGGATATCCGATCCAAAATCCCGAAACCGAAAATCCGGTTAGTATTCGGCCTAGACCGGGTGGCGGGTAGGGTTTGTAAAATTCCAACCCGACCAGCCCGAAATATCCAAATGGGAAATGAGGTGGAAGAAACATCCTCAGCCTTTTTTAGTGGGAGAGAAGTCAACGGTGTGAACAAACAGAGGGCCTGTAGCAACGTAATGTCAAACCGATAGAAACTAACCACCGCTTTATATAGTTAGGAGATAAGAGATTATGAATGAAAACTTCTAAAGATAGCTAAACATTTATAGAACATTAGCACATTATCAGTGTCCTAAAGGTGTGTCTAGCCAGATATTTTTAGAATAGAGGCAGTTAACCCAAAAATATCCTTTACACCAAAGAAAATAGTATGGGTCAGTTTGGTAAGAGCTATTTTGCTGAAATGGCTGAATATGCTAAATCTTTTAAAAAAAGGCACCCCGCAAAAATCCATTTCGGCCAAACCAGTAACTCCAAAAAGCATAACTGGCTACCAAACGGAGCCTAACATGTACAAAGCATAAGAAGAAAAACATACCTTCTCATCACACATCCGGCGCCGGTCGTTGGGATTTCCCCCCAAATCGGGCCTGTTTCCAACCGGCGCAGAGCAACCGGTGCATTTTTGCACCCAACCGGCGCCGGACATACTCTAACCGGCGCCGGTCGTTCCGATATTCTGCTAAAACAGTCCGACATGCAGAAGATTTCTTGATGGGAAAAATTCATCTTCCTCATATTTGATCAAATATCTCCTCCATACATGATTGTTGGGCTTGAATAGACTAAAAGATGCCACTCTTTAGCCTATATAAAGCCCTCAATTCATCAAGCAAAGACATTACATCTCATTCCATAGATTAATTCTTAGCTTTTATATTTTTGTTCTTGGTATTTTCTTCAAGTTCTTGAGAAGGAAACTTCAACCTCCAAAACTATTGGTGTTTAGGTATTATTTCCTTTGTAATTTCATGTTCCATTACATTTCAATATTGTATTGTGATTAACATGAGCATTAGAGACTAATTTCTTAGCTAAGGCTAGGGATGAACCTCTATGCACACTAGATGTTTAATAAAAGTTCTAAACCAATAAATTGTGATTTATCCTTTATATTTTGATTGTTTATGACTATGGTGTACAACATAGAAGTATGTTAAATTTAGTTTATGCTTGCAATTAACGTTGAAGTCTAAACTATGAACATTAAAGGATAAACATATATAGTACCAAGAATAGAAATATATCCGGTCTTGTATGATACGGGTGTGATGTCTTGATATTCAACGGGGTTTTCGGTAGATGAATGTAAGCCTTAACGGGACTTACACGTAACGAAAACCACGCTCTCGCTGCCTTAACCGGAGTTGAGAATATATTAGCGACATCGTATTCATGATTATTGGGAAAGAACTATTATTAAATAACTATTAAAGCATTTAGGTGAATCCCGATTGCCTTAGTAATTCTCATTCTTGTTTAAATCAATCTCAAAGAAAAAAGTTCCGGAAAAACTATACCATTTACATTCTTTGCATTCAATACTCGACTTTATAATATCAACCAGTTCCCTGTGGATCGACCCGGTATTTACCGGTATTTTATTACTATATCAGCACTTGTACACTTGCAAGTTCAAACCGATCAAGTTTTTGGCGCCGTTGCAGGGGAAACGGTCTTGTTTAATAAAAGTCCAAATAATTAATCAAAAGTCCTGAATTTATTTTATCTCTTTTCACAACTTCACTTGATCTTGGAAGAGTTTATTTTTGTGTGTGTAGACATTCCTTTGTGTTTGCATGCATTTGAGAAGTCAAGGTTCTAAATTTCTTGAACCACTTGATCTTGAAATAGAAAAAACTTGCAAACACATACGGAAGGAACAATAAGCCACAAAGATGATGCTCACACTAAACGAAAGGAAGAGGCCCGTGGTTGCCACCACTCCATGTATTGTCCTAAGCGAGGCAGCTCGGGATTATGAAATGAAAAATAGCTATTTCAATGCTATGCCTCAATTTCATGGTCTTCCGGGGGAGAATCCACTCAATTTCATCACCGAATTCTATGGGTTCATCCAAGGGATCCCTAGGCATGGGCTCACCGAGGACGATCTCAAACTCAAAAGCTTTCCCTACACTTTGAAAGGGGGAGCAAGGATGTGGTTCTTGGAGCAAGCACCGGCAACCTTTACAACGTGGGAAGGTATATATAATGCTTTCATCTCTAAGTATTACACACCCACGATGACTCAGGAGCTAAGGCAACGAATCTTCAACTTCAAACAACAAGTTGGAGAACTCTTTCAAGATGCATGGAGGCGTTTTAAGGCCTTATTGAAGGAATGCCCACATCACCACATTCCTCTTGATCTTCAAATAGATACATTCTACAATGGTTTGAATCCTTCATGCCAAGCCATTGTACACAGCCGTGCGGAGGGCTACATTGGAAATAAAACTGAAACAGAAGCATTGAGAATCCTTGAATCCATTGCTTCAAATCCTCAATTACAAGGAGGAGACGTCAAATTGGCCGGTGTGAGCGAGGTTTCTATAGCCCATGAATTAGACAAGCGGTTTGCTGATTTTCAACAAGCTATTCACAAAGATCTCCAAGCTTCTATTCACACGGCTCTACAAGCCGTGATTGGAGGGGCTATTCAAGTGGAAAATGTAGAAAGCATAGCACAACCGGAAGGTAATTCACCTCAAACTTTTGAAGAAGTGAATTACATGAACTCATATGGGAATAGGGGAGGCAACAACTATTCCAACAACCAACAAAGGTTTAACCAAGGTAATTCTTGGAGACCACAAGGAGATCCTTCTAACCTCTTATCCAATTTTGCGCAAGGGCAAAAAGAACAAACACTAGAGGAGATGATGAAAGCCCTCACTCAAAATGTTGGGGCTATAAAAGCCCAAAATGAGGAGAATCATAGTAGAGTGGCATCCATTGGGAATCTCCACTCGCAATTCACCAAGTTGGATCTTCGCTTTGAAGATCAAAATATGAAACTCAACCAACGCATCGACATCATTGAGCAATACAACAAGGCATCCATCCGGAATCTCGAAGTTCAAATAGGGCAACTTGCCCAAAAAGTAAGTTCTAGGGAGCAATGCAAATTCCCTACAACCACGGAGATGAACCCAAGAGAGAATGTGATGGCCATTACCACAAGAAGTGGTAAGACAACGGAGGACCCAAGAATGCCGGAAGAGGAGGAGACCCCGGAAAAGCAACAAGAAGATGGAAATGAGGAGCATATG